TAAATAGATATATTTTTATTATAAAAGCAATCAAATAAATTTAAAATAATAATAGTAAAAAAAAGAACGCATTAGATTTATTTTAAAATAAAGGATTAAATATATTTTTCGTTCCTATAATAATTTAAAATTCAATTTTAGTTTTTATAAAAAAATTCTTTAAAGAATGATTTTCAGAAATTTTCAATTTTAGTATTTTTTAATCGTATTAATTGCAAAAATATTAATTAATGCATGACTAAAAATATTTTAATGGAAATATTAAAAATATGTGTACATGAGTTTGTTAGGAAAAATAATTTATTTACATGATAATATAATAAATAATAATATAATAATAAAATTAATATTAATAATAATAATAATTAACTATAAAAAGAAATAAATAATAATAAATATAATGAGAATATAAAAAAATAGATAATATATAATATAAAAGAAATAATAATAATAAAAAAATAGAATTAAAATATAATAATTATAAAAGGGGGGTGCAGAAATTAATGGGATCGGCCCATTAAGTAAATTGAGAGGGCCGATTTGATTACGTGGGTGAGGGTGTACGGGGCTTAACGTGAGACTTGGCCTATCGGTCGTCCAATCACGATCATACGGATAAGAGTGTGGGAGTATGATAACATTGATGCACGCGTTAGCATAGGAATATACAGAATATAAAAATTTGTCTTAATATTTTTTTTTTACAAATCACTTCATTTTTCTGCAGCACTCCAAAAATAGTCCCCTATCCCTCTCGCGTAACCCTTCTTTCTATCTTCCTTAACCCTAACTCTCCGACCTCCCCGGCAGAGGCACTAAGGCAAACAACCCCTCCCCAAATTCCCAATCAACAATCAAAAAGAAAAACAAGCTAAGTTACCCCCTGTAGCGATTCCGATTCTGACTTAGATCCGGTACTAATCTCTTTTTTCTTCGTTAATTTCGTAGGTCCTGCGAACGGTGGTTCCCGGTGATGAGAGGTTGAAGATGATGGTGCACGACAAAAGCGGCTAGCAACGGCGATTATGGTTTCAGATAATAAAACCCCAATTTTACTTCTCTTCTTCAACGAAGACACTGGTTCTTCCCCTTTTGTCTTCAAGTTCTTCTGCCTGTATCTTTCTCTTCTGCGTTTTTAGTACCTCTGTATTTTCCCTCCCTTTTCTGTTAATTTTAGGCTTGTATTTATAGGGTTTAGCTTGAATTGTCGTTACAAGTTATCATAGATTTAGGAACATAAATTAGGGATTTATTCTGTATAATTGATTCAATTGAATGTAATTGATTCGTCGGATTTGATTTTGTGTAATTTTCGGATTTGGTTCTGTAAGCAAACATCCTCAGGTAATTTATTCTTGTTTTCTACTATATTTGTAACGTATCCTGGGCTTGGACTTTAGAAGATTTGATTTGTTTAATTTTAGAAGAAGATTTGATTCTGTGATCTGCAATTGGTTTGGTATTATTCTGTTTTAGTTTAGGTAAAGATTTGATCAAATTTAGTTTTTGGAGATTCTGTACAATTTTAGTTTGAACTGCGATTTGATTTAATATCTACAATAGTTATTAATAGCCAAAAAAACATGCGCAATACTTTTGCAATTGATGCAGTAATGGTTTAGTGGGCCCTGTAACATTATTTCTTTTATTTTACAACAAACATGTTTTTTAATGCAATTGGGCCCAAATCTCTTTAAAAACCTCAGTCCAAACAGAAACTTTCTCTAAACAAGCATCCTTAATAAATGGAATAAATAATATTTAATCTAATATCCCCTTTAATAATAAAAGATTATTATAAAAAGTTTATCAGCAAAATATCACATTCTCTTAAAGAAATATATATTATTACTTTATACTAATGAGAATTTTCTTTAATAATAATGCCCCCTTTTTTCCTAAACCAAAACAGGAAATGGGTTGCTGAAAACACCATGGACCTACAGTTTGTAATTACACCTTTCTCCTTACTATTTAATAATCCCAAGCGAGCAATGGGCCAAATGAAATTCGATGGCCCTTTAATTGCAATTTTCACCCCCATTTCTTTACTAACAGCAATAATTCCTAAATGGGCTTTAATATATTTAATTTCAACCTCTTTATTTTACTAATAACAACTTAAACTTAAGTGGGCTTTAAGAATTTTAATAAATATTTTTTGAAATAAATTTCCATATTCGAATCTCATGGGTCATTAGCCAACATGCTTTGCGAATGGGTTTACGGGTACATGGATCTTTCTGATTTAGAAAGCCCCACTCTCCTGAATTAAAATACACCCCCATGTTGGCTTGGATTTAAGAATGGGCTATCAGATATTGCTGGACCATCCTTAAAATATTTCTTCTATTTTAATCTTGAAAATATAATCGCCGAGGTAGGCCAAATTTGGGATACAACAATCACCTCACTCAACATCAACACAATACAAAATTCCCACTAAGTTCTACGTTTCAACACAATTCTCATTATTACAAACCTTCCTACATCCGTCTAAGTCATACTAGTCATTACGGACCAAAAGAAACTACACTTCACGCGAAAATGGGAAAGAAATCGCGAAAAAGGAAACTTTTGCATATCAGCCTGCCCATACGCGAACCATACGCGTACGACTTCTTCCCCACCCATCTCATATGCATATCAAACGCGTAAGGCAAAAACAGCCATGTTCCATCCGCGTATCATACGCGTACAACCAGAGGGGATTTCCCCCAAAAGCCCTTCAAGAATTTCCATATGCGTACTGGCTAGTCCGTACGTGCATGGCCCCTCATCATACGCGTTCTAGCAGAAGGTCGTGTTGGTTTAGGGATAGGGCGCGTACCATACGGGTACGGCCCCTGGGAACGTTCCCCATATGCGTACCATACGCGTATGGCCAGTCTGCTACACAAAATCTTGTTTTTGCACCAGCACGAATTCTTCTCATTTTACACACTTTTCAAACTACCAATTTGACCCAGAACAATGTTTTTACACACCACAACTTATAGACTTCATCTAATTTCACTAATCACTTAATCTACAACAATCTTCTTCACCAAAACTCACTTTTCATCATCTCTTGTAGATCTACAATTTCAATTTAGGGATTTCATGGGACAACACCCCAACATCAAAGGTTATCAACAACAATCATAGGCTTAGGGGTGGAAATAGGGGTGGAAATAGGCTGGACCGAGCTAAGCTTTGCCAAGTCTAAGTCTGACCTGCTTAAAAAATTGAAGCCTAAGTGTGGTCTGTAGTCTGACATAGGCTTATTTTTAGGTATGTGTCTGACTTTTTCTAAGATCTGGTTAGCCTGTTATCCTACATAAAAACCTATTATTTTAGACATATGTAAGTAAGCCATTTAAATAATATTTAAATAGACTAATAAACTAAAAAACCAATGAGAGTAAAAGTTTATTTGGATTGATTTATTTTAACATATCAATAAGCATAAGTTTTATGAGACTATTTGTTTAAGAGGTCTTGTGAAAACAACTTATAACATTGTTCATAATGTATTTTCATCTTATTTTCATAAGTTGTCCAAAATAATAGTAAAATAATTAAATAGATATATTTTTATTATAAAAGCAATCAAATGAATTTAAAATAATAATAGTAAAAAAAGAAAAGAATGCATTAGATTTATTTTAAAATAAAGGATTAAATATATTTTTCGTTCCTATAATAATTTAAAATTCAATTTTAGTTTTTATAAAAAATTTCTTTAAAAAATGATTTTCATAAATTTTTCCGTCTATATTTTTGGTTCACGCCGTGTATTTGATTAACAAAATACTTCAAAGAAATAAACTGCATCTGTTTCTCTATCACACACTCAGAGTCTGTGAATTCAAACAATGACCATTCAAATAATGACCATAAGTTGAACTTCCCTACAGGTGTGTCAGCAACAATCACCTTTGATGCAATATCCTGGGACAAAAAAATAAGGAGGAGTTTGTTATGATAAAGGATAAGGAGGAGTTCATAACAATAGTTGATTAATAATAGAAGGATAGAGACGTGATTCAGATGAGTTAATATTGTGTGACTAGGGTGGTTCTTTTGTTCAAACTTTCTTGTGTTGGTTCTGTTATAAGGTGCAGTGGTTATACAGCATTTTTGCATAAATTTTTCATCAACCAAACTATGGAAGTAGAGCCAACAAACTCACACGGTGTTGTTGAGATCATTTTCTATATAATAGTTTGTACATACAAAACCATATGTAAATGAACAATCAGTACATCTCAATTAGTAAAATTAATCACAATAGTTTACTAAACAAATGTATGATGAAATTTATAATACTGAATAGCAATTATTAAATTGATCTAGCAGATCAACTGCTTGGTGAAATGGTTGTGAGAGGAAAAATTAAATTGATCTAGCAGATCAACTGCTTGGTGAAATGGTTGTGAGAGGAAAAATTAAATTGATCTAGCAGATCAACTGCTTGGTGAAATGGTTGTGAGAGGAAAAATTAAATTGATCTAGCAGATCAACTGCTTGGTGAAATGGTTGTGAGAGGAAAAATTAAATTGATCTAGCAGATCAACTGCTTGGAAAATTAAATTGATCTAGCAGATCAACTGCTTGGTGAAATGGTTGTGAGAGGAAAAATTAAATTGATCTAGCAGATCAACTGCTTGGAAAATTAAATTGATCTAGCAGATCAACTGCTTGGTGAAATGGTTGTGAGAGGAAAAATTAAATTGATCTGGAAAAATGTCAGAAGTGGGATTTGAACCCACGCTCTCTCACGAGAACCAGAACTTGAGTCTGGCGCCTTAGACCACTCGGCCATCCTGACGAGTTGGAATCATGATTCGTTGAATTGAAGTAACACAATACCATATAGAATTAAGATAATATGATGTGAACTGCAGAAGAAGAAGAAGCTCGGCCAGAAGTTGAGCAAAGGGGAAAAAAAGGGTTAATTTCCCATTCTCATTGATTCATGTTCAATTAATGACTCATTTTGTTAGATAATCATGATAATGGGGATGGAATTGTTGGCTTTGAATTCATCACCACTATGCAATGTTACTCCAAGAACTAGGAGGAGAATTCATCACACACCCAACAATTACAAGGCTTCCGTGGCTATGATGATGGCATCTGCTTCCAAGGTTTCCGTGGCTATGATGATGACATCTGCTTCCAAGGTTTCCTTTTCTCATTCATTCATTTTCCAATTTTACTTGATTAATTATTTGCTTGTTTTAATTTGAAGGTATATGATTCAGTGTTAGAGAACAAAAAGCATGTCCTTTTAACCTCTCTTCAAGACACACAAAGAGGACTCTTGACAACTCCTCATCAACGTTCTTCTATAGAACAAGCACTAGTTAGTATTTTCAATTTCTCACTCTCTTTCTTTTTTGTTTCTCCAACCACCAATGTGTTTCATACTGTTATGTTAGGTGAATGTAGAAGGAACCAACGTCGGTCAACCAATTGATTTCAACAAACTCGACGGAACCTGGCGCCTCCAATATACTTCTGCTCCTGATGTTCTCGTTCTATTCCAAGCTGCTGCTACACTTCCTTTCTTTCAAGTATTCTATTACTAAACTTTAACTATGCTTGTCATATTTAATGCCATTTTATTCTTACCTTCTTTGCTTCCGCCATGACATAGGTCGGACAGATATTTCAGAAATTCGAATGCCGTCATAACTCTACCGGAGGCATCATTCGCAACGTTGTCCGTTGGAGTATTCCAAATTTCTTCGAGGTAAAACACCCTCAAGACCCGTCGTGCTTTACATGCTAACTAAGAATTTCTTGAAGGCTGCGTTTAAATAATCTTATAAGTCTAAATCCTCAAAAGCTAGCTCACACATTGTTTCTTGCTAACCTTAGATGCTTGGAATAACAAAATTTTATGACAAACTTTGCTTGACCCTTGATCTCTATTGTTCTCACCTTCAGCCCAACCTTAAAATGACTTGGCTCAAGGACCATTATGATGCTTTAAAATTAGACAAGAATTCCATTGTCGAACAAAAACTTAGGAAAACTAGAATTTACCTTTTCTTGCTTTCCGCTAGCTTATTGTTTCCTGATACTAATGGTAACACTATACATATTCATTTTTTAGCATTATTAGAATACATAAATAAAATTGGTAGATATAGTTGGGTTGCTGCAACTTTGGAACATATATATAAAAACTTGTGTATATGTGCTAAAAAATGCATAATTTTGTTGGTTGTGGGGTATTACTTCAAGCTTGGGGATGGTCCAGAATTTCGAGTATGCCAACATGGAATCTCAATTCATTCCAATTTCCATATGCGACCAAGTACATTTTAAATATATTATTTTAAAAAAATATGTTTCGTCTAGGTATTTTCTAATAACCATTTCTTTTTAGGTGGTCTACATATAAGATGAATTATGAAAAAATGTCCCATCATTGTGCTCCTGGATATCTGACGTTCTTCAATCATTTTGAGGTGGATGATGTATTATCTTCAAGATAAAACTACTAATATTTAAGATTTATTTGTAACTTTTTTAACTAATCATTTGAGTTTGTGATATAGTTTGCATGGAGGTCATATATTATACTTGAAGATGAGGATTTAACTGAAAGTGGCATGTGCAGTTCAATAACGCTTATAATCTTTTTCACTACAGTTGAAATGCAGCATTCAGATAGGGTCAAACTGCAATTTGACATCCAATAAGACATATCTGGTCCTCCAATACTTCATGGAACCATCATTGGTATGTGTCATACCACATCCTCTTTTACTTATATTGCTACATAAAATGTTTTATTACAACTTTGATCATTTCTTTTCCATTTAGCATATCAGTTCATAGCTTGTGACAAATCAAGAGATGTAGCTCATGAACTTTCATCTATGGTTTGGCTTGCTGTTATGGATAATTTGGAAGAAAACCACCACACCTTTTGCTTACTTAAAAACACCTTGCACACGGAGGGGATGTGAGTTTTAGTTACAATCTCTTTGTCACGCACAATAACTTAGCTCCTAGTTTGATAAACTACTTCAACTAGCCTTTGAAATTTTCTCTTGATTTTACTAAGTTTTCTTCTAAGTTTTACTCATCAATATTTTGTCTCTTTGGACCATCTAATTAATTTTGGAATAATTTTCAGCAGGTTTTTCTTCCACATCCTTACATTACATCTGTCAAAGTTCAATGGAGGGTGTTCGAGAAACTTTTTACTGATTTTCGTGATTGCTTCAACCATTTAGAATATTATGATATGTTGGCATGTGCTAAAAGTAGGTTTCAGCCAATACCATCTACTTGATTAGGTTATTAGCATACATGACATTCTCAAAGCATCAAGCTAAACATAATCTCAGTTAAGTATTGTTTTTGAGTTTAATTCTTATAGTGGAAATTGAGTAGTGTTATTAAATCTCTTTAGAGAGAGTGTTATTTGTTAGAAGTTATCCAAACAATTAGGTGTTGAATTTCTATATTTGACTTTCTATTAGTAGTATTTATTTTTGTTTGCTACTAATTAACATTCCCTCATTGTATTGAAATATGAGTTTAGAGTAATAGAAATTACTTTTCTCTCGCATCCTTTCTCTCATCAAGTGTGTGTGGTTTTATATTTGTCCCAACAAATTGGTATTAGAGTTTGTTTCTAATTGAGGGATCTTTGCGACATGCACAATGGGACTAATTGGCACAAATTTCTCAACAAATATTCCTGTTCTCGATGGAAAGAATTGGGATCGGGGGTATGTGCAAATGAAGGTCATTTTGGGCTATCAAGAAGCCACATAAATCGTCGAAGAAGGTTATCCAATACTCACTGAAGATTCCACAAATGCATAGAAGACGCTTCACAAAGAAATTAAGAAGAAAGATTGTAAATCAACCTTCCTGATTCATTAATGTGTTGATGATGCGCATTTTAAGAAGATTGCAGGCGCTGCAACTTCGCAAGAAGAGTGGAAGATCCTAGAGAAATGCAATGAATGCGCAAAACAATTGAAGAAGATGATATTACAGACGATGGGACATCAATACGAATTGATGCAAATGGAGAATATGAAAAGATAGTTGAATTCTTCAACAGAATGATCACTCACATGAATACCATGAAGACTTATGGTGAAAAAATCTAAGATCAAACTATTATAGAAAAGATTCTGAGAACACTCAATCCCAAATTCGACCACATAGTTATAGCCATTGAAGAATCCAAGAAGCCCGAGAATTGAAGGTAGAAGAACTTCAAGGTTCTCTCGAGGCACATGAGAAAAGACTCACTGAAAGAGGTCCAGAGAAGCCCGATGATTATCAAGCACTGTAGACTTATACCTCAAGAAGAGTAAGCTACATGTAACACCCCAGTTTCTCCACCAGAATAATTATAATATAATATACGAAAATACATCATAGTACACAAGTAGGATACGTAACATTCTCCACAAAACTCGTGGTTCAATATAAATTTGAAGTTAAGATACGTAACAAATACCAAATTCCCACAATATCCCGTGTTACGTATCAGAGCGACTCCAAAGACTCGATCAGGCAACTCATACTCCAAGCAATACTCAAGTACCTGATTATCTGTACTCCCGGAGGAGCACAAAGACAACAACGAAAAAGGAGTGAGGAGTACATTGAATAAATAACGGTGAATATCACATGCTAAGGAGTAGTAATATCACACAAATAAAATAACTCACATTTCACCTAAATACTTCGCAACACATTCATCATTCACATAACACCACATCAAATCAAGATAGTGCAATGCAATGCAACCGACAACAACTCAATGCATGTGGTACCAACAGGACATAAGCCCACAACATAATACTATATAGGGCAGCAACACGACATAAACCCTCAACTCAACGCCATTACAAGCCAACAACAGGGCATAAGCCCTCACCAATGTATGCATGCAACAACGTAAATATACGGCTATAGGACATAAGCCCACAACATCTTGCCAATAAAGGCCACCAACAGAGCATAAGCCCTCACCATATATGCAACGATAACAATAGCAAATAGTAACAACGTACTTGCATACATCCAACAATGCAACATCATCTTATTACACTTCATCAAACATTACAACAACATATTGCCATAGTATCATAATCCACTATGCATATTATCAATCCATCATGAACATTTAACAACAGCATTACACATCATAACATCATAGTATCAGAACATAGTATCATAGCATTACAACAACTAAGCATATTAACAATTCCTCATGTATATTCGGCAACAACAATACTACAAAAACATAACATCATAGCATCAACACAACTAAACATGTTATCAATTCATCATGTATATTTGATAGCAACAATGCTTACAACAACATAACATCCTAAGAAATACCTTCATACATCTTTCGTACAACAACCACATGTTAGGTCACATCACTCAACATCAACACCATACAAAATTTCCACTAAGTTTTACGTTTCAACACAATTTTCATTATAACAAACCTTATTATATCCGTCTAAGTCATACTAGTCATTACAGCCCAAGAGAAATTACATTACACGCGAAAACGGGAAAAAATCGCGAAAATAGACAAATCTGCACCTCAGCTTGTTCATACGCGTATGGCCCCGCCTCATATGCGTATGGCTCACTTCCTCGCCTCACTGCCTATGTATCATACGCGTATGGCCAAAATAGCCAGATCCCATATGCGTATCATACACGTACCACCAGAGGGAAATTTCTCCCCAAAACCTCTCTAGAACTTCCCATACGCATAATGGCTTGCCCATACACGTATGGCCTTCCTCTCATACGCGTATCATACGTGTTCCAGCAGAAAGTCGTGTCGTCTTGTGGACAGGGTGCGTACCATACGCGTACGGCCCCTAGGAATGTCCCCATATGCGTATGACCTCCCTCATACGCGTATGGCCAGTCTGCAACACAAAAATCCTGTTTTTTGCACCAATATGAATTCTGCTCGTTTTACACACTTCTAAGCTACCAATTTGAGCCAAAACAATGTTCTTACACACAAAAACTCATTGTCATAATCCAATTTTACTCAACAATTATTCTATAACAACTTTCTGCATCAAAACCTCAATTTTCATCATCTCTTCCTAGATCTACAATTTTAATTTAGGAGTTTCATGAAACAACACCACAACATCAAAAATTATCAACAAAAATCATATCATGGACATCAAATTATTCACAATTCTACATAAAATCACATAAGTATATCATCAATCAACAAAAGGAATCATAATACACCAAATCGACATAAAATCCTAAGAGAGAAAGGAACCCTCACTACCATTTCATGTTATAATCACCATTTAAAGAACTCGTTTTCCCCCATTTACCTTAATTTGGAATTTTGATTCTTCAACAATGGTGGGAATTCCTCTTGTTTCCTTCCTTCCCTAGCTCCTCTTCCCCTCTCTTCTCTTCTCTTCTTTTCTTTTCACGTGAAAACAAATATCCCAATTCCTTCTACCACTCTCCAAATTATTCCTTATTATTTCCCAATAATAATAATAATAATAATAATAATAATAATAATAATAATAATAATAATAATAATAGTTATAGTATTAATAATAATAATAATAATAATAATAATATCTTTAGTGGAAAATACACCATTTAACCAACAATAATGTTTTTATTAATAATAATGGGATATTTCGTCCTTCACCAGAATTATCATTATTATAATATTATTCAAAGCTTACTCCAATTATCGAATCAAACTAAGTTCTCAACCCCTTTAGTCAAGCCAACATAGTTATACAAACTCAATCATCAAATGACTAAATATTTAAATGGGGCGTTACAACTCTCCCCCACTTAGAATATTTTCGTCCTCGAAAATTACCCGATGCAACACACTCCGGACACAACTCTCGCATTCAACTTTCCAATTCCCACGTCATATCTGGAAGTATCTTGAATACCAATCATCAATATTCAACATCGTTAACCATTTTAATCCAACAACAACAGCTTCACAAGGACATCGTCCCAACTATAATACTGACAATATTTGCACACAACATTAGTACTTTGATGCTATGATTCATCAGTCAAACACTTAAATTAATACATCTATTAACACAACAATAATTTCAATAATACATAATCTCTTTACCTATCACCTCCCTTCTGGAATGTCCAATAGTTTTGCATCATTCCCGCAGGCTTCTGATGTTCAACCCTTGACTCTTACAATCAAACACTTGCAACGAACTGCGTTATATCATACATCAGTTGCGCTACTCTGATCGTCTAATTTAAAGTCATTGTCCTCACTTTGATTTCTATTAACTACCAGGCCTACAATTTCACATTCAGTTCCTGAATGTTTTTAATATTCTCCAGAAAATCACTACTCACCTTTTATATCCTCAACCTCCAACTCTGCGATGTTAGGTCGTATACAACTCAAGTCTCCGAACTGTTCAATAAATCCCAACTCTTTCATATCTGATTTTCTATTAGGCTCTCACGAAATGATGAAAGACTGCCCTCTCAGTAAAATGTCAGTCACTTTACGCACCATTAAGCTGACAAGACAAGTCCATCCCGTCCAACATAATCTCATCTATTATCAACAATAGATTGAGGGTGATCATTTCCTCAATTTGTCAATAAGTATCTGACAACCATGATGGGCATAAACCATCATTACTAACTATAATAGCATTTCTTTAGAACTTGCACTCAAAGTCACCTAAAGCACCACAATCCAAATAATCTCCTTTGAGATTTACAAGTGCCTACACAATTTCTTTCTCATTCGATCTCGTCAATGAGACACCATCGTCCAACACATTACATAGTCCATTTATCACTCACTTATCATCCCACGATGATTAAGAATTTTCTAACTCAAGACCTGTTAGCATACCAAATACATTACAAATCATTCTGCTCTATTCTAAGTCTTTATCCATATAAAGGATTCTAACAACATTCCTAAATTCTTGGTTTTCCTTCAAATATCACAACATCAAGAATCCATATATTTCCACCTTTCGTTCCAATCACAATCTCAATAATACCATCTCGTCACTTAGTTGGTGATAGAAACTTATCAACTTTTCATGACATATATTCGCTACCATGTCTTCAATGACTCATATTCCATCTTACCATTTAACTTTCTCTTTTCCTCAAGGGTCCCTCCACTCTAACCATTCTCAATTGGCATAAATTGCACCTACATGTGCTCCTACAACACTTTCTTAACACATTTTTCTTAACACCAAACATTTCATTTCTTCCATTTGTTCATTACCA